TCTGGCCGACAGAGGCAACTGGGAGGTGATCGTAGCGGGGAGAGTTCGACAACCGAAGGTGAAAAGGGTTCTGAAGAAGTTCTTGTTGTTTGAGGATGACGACGATACCTCGAGGATGTGGAAACGGTCCTCCTTTGAACACGAGCTATCCTTCTTGCAATCCCTGGAGCACCATAACATCGTCAGGGTGTTGGCTGCTTTTCAGTGCCCGTCCTATTTGGGCTTTGCGATGGGGTATCATCCCACGGATCTTTCCCATGGACTGCTTGACGTGACCTACTTCGAGGCGGAATCCTACACAAGTCAGCTCACGGACGTCATGTGCTACTTGCACGGTCAGCGCATCATCCACGGAGATCTCAAGCTAGGGAACGTTCTCCTAGACAGAGCCGGCAGGGTCAAACTCTGTGACTTCGGTCACTCTCAGGTCATTCCCGAGGATACAGACAAGCCCGACGGGTGGGGAGGCACCAACGGTTATCAGCCACCAGAGTTATACGACAGCCAAGTTCACAACGCCTTCAAGATGGACAACTACTCCCTGGGCATCTTGCTGTGGGCTTTGTTCTTCGGGACTGCTCCTCGCGACAACATTGACTATCTGAAAGAAGTGGACAACGGTTCGTTTCTCAAGCCACAACATAAGCACTGTCTTCAGCGGCTTCTGGCTCTATCCCCGACACACCGAGCATACATTTGGGAGATTGCTAGGATTCTCAAGGACGAGGACACATCAGAACGTTATGTGAGTAAGGGCTCTGTGTGTTCTCTGAGCTCCGAGAGTTCTTCGGACTCTGCTCAAGCGAATCAGTCATCTCCAGACAACGGTTCTTCTGTAACGGAACGTCCAGAGAGTGCGGCCGTGTGGAACCAGTTCCTTGCCCCACCACCCCCACACCCCCAGGCCACATCCTGCTACCTTCTTCCTCAAACGGCATATCCTGACAGTGGAGACGTCCCAGCCAGCCTGGCTCCGACTTGGCCGCCTCTCCACCAAGACCTTTGAAATGTACAACTCAACAATTTTTGGACATTCTCTCCAACACCTTCCGGATGTTGCTTCAGTCTAAGCGGCCATCTCCAGGCAACATTTTTCCTGACAAGAATTCTCAACTTGACGCAGCTGTGTGTGTGTGTGTGTGTGTGTGTGTGTCTGTTTGTCTGTCTGTGTGTGTGTCTATGTGTGTGTGAGTGTGTGTGTGTGTCTGTGTGTGTGTCTATATGTGTGTGTGTGTTTGTGTGTGTGTGTTTCTGTGTGTGTGTGTGAAAGATAGAGAGAGAGAGAAGGAGAGAGAGAGAGAGAGAGAGAGAGAGAGAGAGAGAGAGAGGTGGGGAGACAGAAAGTGTGTGTATGTGTCTATGTGTGTGTGTGTGTGTTTGTGTGTGTGTGTGTGTGTGTGTGTATGAGTGTGTATGTGTATGTGTGTGTGAGTGCATATGTGTGAGTGGGGGGAGAGAAAAAGTATATGTGTGTGTGTGCGTGTGTGACAGAGAGAGAGAGAGAGAGAGAGAGAGAGAGAGAGAGAGAGAGAGAGAGAGATTGAGAGAGAAAGAGGCGGGAGGAAGGGGCTGACACATAGACAGAGAGCACTGAGAGAGTTGGTAGATATTGCAGGGTGTGGCTGCAAAGGTTTGCTCCCGTTTTAACGAGTTTGTATGTACATACATGGACGGCTTTTATGTACATTTTGTACAGTGAATGTGAAATTATTTAATTAACTGCCATAAACGATATGTGTTCTTGCGTTTTCCTATCAATTTTATTTTGTTGTAAATAAACTCCTCTTTTGTATAATATACCTTCTGGTTACATAGTTCTGTACATATAACATAATATAATATTTTGTAACGGCACCAACTTGTTGTTTTTTGTATAGGTGCAAACTGCCATACACGATATGTGTTCATGCGTTCACTTGTGGATTCTTTCTGTAAATAAACTCCTCTTTTGTAAAATATACCTTATGGTTTCATAGTTCTGTGTATATAATATATATATATATATATATATATATATATATCTATCTAAATAATCAAAGTGAAGAAACTTGCATTTTCCTTCGGGTTTGTGAATTTTAATCAAATTGTTGTTTTTGGGCTCAACACCTTTCATGCTCATTAAAGAACTCATTTCTGTGTGGATCTTTTTTTGAAAAATGTTGATTAAAGGAACAAAAGATGTATATTTTCAGTTACCATGGACTCTTAAGCTAAGGAAATAAGTAATCATTGGCGGCCATTTTCTCACTAATTTTACATCTGAAAACATGTGACCCCCACCTCCTTCATTCTCAAATATCTCGACTTGTATTTAAGATACACGGATTTTTTTTCCATTCAAATAAAGACCAGTGAATAAGCTTTAAGATGATACCAATAACTCGATGTACCCAAATATTGACGAGAGCCTGATTCCACCATGATGCCTAATAGACAGAGAAAGAGAGAGAGAGAAAGAGAGAGGGAGAAAGAAAGTATGTGCGAAAATGCGAGGCTGCTG